TAGCAGGTTAATTTGGAAATTTTCCATCTGTCAAGTTTAAGTGAAAATTCGCCAAATGGAACACAGCCTAATCCATCTAAAACATCTATTGTACCATTCACACGAAGAAAAAAAATGTTAATTAATAGTATTAATCTGAAAGGAATAATTTTAGAACTTTCAAACTAAATTGAAATTCGCATCTAGAGCAAGTCATTAGTAAGGCAACAAATTCTCTTTGAATAGGTAAACAATTTTGGTATTAAATGGGGACTGAATCCTAAAATGATCCACTGGATTTATTTGGCGATTGTAAGACCCAGAATAACGTATGCATCATTGGTTTGGTGGCCTAAAACTAATGAAAAATCAGCTCAGAAGAAGCTAGGGAGGCTGCAAAGGCTCACTACTGTCTCGACGCAGTGGAGAACCAGTAGCGGCAAAGACTCGACTCGGATGGACCATTTTCGGTGGAGGACAAAAGCGAACGCAAGTAACACAGCGGGTCATTGTTCATGCGTGTGTCTTTTATACAGACGGCTCTAGATTGGATAATCGTGTAGGAGCAGGGGTTACAGGTCCAGGTATAAATATCTCAATATCTATGGGCTACTGGGCTGCTTGCGTAGAAATTATAGACATTCGAATATCTGCATTATGGCTAATAGCCAAGCAGCACTAAATGCTTTGAAATTAGCAACATGTAATTCTAAACTTGTATGGGAATGTGGAATGCAACTCGAAAAATGCAACTTGCCAAAACCAAGTGAACCTATTTTGGGTTCCTGGTCACTGTGGAATTCAAGGGAATGAGAAAGCCGACACACTAGCTAGACTTGAATCATCTCAACAATTTATAGGACCAGAACCATTCTGTGGAGTTTCTGCTTGCTCTCTTAGAATGGAGTTCAAGAAATGGGAAAAAATGAAAGTGGAGACCAATTCGAACAACACTCTCATTGCTAGGCAGTCGAAACGGTTTATTAATCCGAGCATTTCAATGACTAGTAAAATTCTTGAACTATCAAAGAAAGATCTCAGGGCACTGTCCATTACTATCACTTGAAGCTAATAGGAAAACTTCACACTAGCTAGACTTGAATCATCTCAACAATTTATAGGACCAGAACCATTCTGTGGAGTTTCTGCTTGCTCTCTTAGAATGGAGTTCAAGAAATGGGAAAAAATGAAAGTGGAGACCAATTCGAACAACACTCTCATTGCTAGGCAGTCGAAACGGTTTATTAATCCGAGCATTTCAATGACTAGTAAAATTCTTGAACTATCAAAGAAAGATCTCAGGGCACTGTCCATTACTATCACTTGAAGCTAATAGGAAAACTTCAAGATGACATTTGTTGATTATGTGGCATAGAAAAGGAAGACTCTGAACACCTGCTATGCTCTTGTACAGCAATCTTCAATAAGAGGCGTATTTTTCTGGATAAGGGGCTGACAGAACCCTTTGATATTTGGAACTCAGTTCCCAGCCGAGTAGTGTAATTCATTCGAAATGTAATACCTGACTGGGAAAATGCTTTTGGTCAGTCTGTGTCGGTCGCTTCATAAAATGGTGATACGTGCTGATAAAGCAATATTAAAAAGGGGAATATATCAAAATAGATCTAAGTGCTGGTCGCAGTGATCAAAATACCCATCACGGAAAAAAGCAAGACTATGCTGGAGGCAACTGGGTTCGATTCTCGGTCCGGTTTACGAATTTTTCGGGTTGGAAAAATTCTCGACTTCCCCGGGCATATAGTATGATTGTACTTGCAACACAATTATACTAATGCAAAAATGGTGCAGGCTTCGAAAGTGCATCTGTTTGGAACACTAAGTTGAGAGCAAGCAATAAGCTAATATGTGATATGCAATAGGCTTGCAATGCGAAGAAGAAGAAGTTTCCGAGTCCCAATGGCCATTTGCAATGCTGAGTTTCAAAATTATTTCAAACTACTCGACAGTTCTAAAATTTGGAACTGTCAAAAATGAAACTGCAAACCGATCACCGCCACGCACAGTTTTAAAAGGTGTTTGGCATTCATCCATCAAATGTGTGCGTGTGGCAATTTTGCTTGCTGCGGTGATTTTAGCACGAACGGAAAAGGTGATTCTGATTCAAGAATGTTTCCTGGAACAAGATGATTACAACAACGTAATCCAGTGTTAGGTAACGAGTAACCACGAGAACAGGTTTCGGACGATTCTACTGTCGAAACATGCAGGGTGGTCACTGATCCGCGAAGTTTTGAAAAAAATATACATCCAGAGATGTGTTTGGAGACCTCTGAGCATCTGAAGGTCTTTGCAATAATTACTGAGACATCTGGTATCATGAGCGAATCTCTGAGAGATGTTATATTAATGTTGGGCGGTTGAAGATCATCAGAATGATAGTTGATCAAACCTGAATTATTAAAAAAAATACCCAAAGAATTGTATGGAGATCTGATCTGATCACCTGAAGATCTTTGAAATAATTTCTGTGCCACGTGGTATCATAAGAGAATATCTGAGAGACGCAATTTGATTGGTTGGATACCTTCAGAATAGTACCCATTTATCCTGAAGGCATGAAAAAACATCCTGAAGATTTAATGACGATCTCTGATCACCTGATGGCCTTTGGAATAATTTCTGAGCAACCTGGTATCATAACAGAATATGTGAGAGACGGCATTTGAATTATTGGACAGTAGAGGATCTTCAGAATAATTGATGAACCAGAAGTATTGAAAAATATCCAGAAAATATGTTGTAGACCTCTAATCACCTGAAGATCTTTGGAAAAATTAGGAGTCATCTGGATTCTTGAGAGATGTCTATGATGTAAAGCAAATGTATTTGCTCGATAAATTTGCCGACCCCGAACAATAACAGAATGAGATTTCGTTTCTTCTCCTCGTTTTACCTATAGTCGCTATATTTATAGTCTGGCGGATAGAATTTCGATCTATCATAAAGCGGAACCAATTCAATATATTGTAGACCAACAATTAAAAAGGTACTATCAACTTAAATAAACAAAACGTTGATTATTCTTCCCTCACCAATCGAACGCAAATTACCAGCATTATCGGATAGGGAAAACTTTCCCGAACCCAAAGATAATGTTAGTTTCCGTAGGCGAGCCTTGAGTCACGTGAAAACGGTTTCCGAAGTTTTGTTCGCAATAGCTAATGTGATCTTTGCTGTTGTTGGTCGTGATTTGCTCGATTGGTTCCGCTATTTGACAGCTCAATTGGTTCCCGAGATTATATCTGCCAGACTATGAATATAGCGACTATAGGTTTCCCTTGTGCGTATGCCTTCTGTCAGAATAGAAGCTCCACAAATACATCCATAGAAATTTGAAACAGAGTTCCATTCGTGTTTTAAACACGAGGCCGTTCGCAATGCTGTTGTATTTTATAAGGACTGTTTCAATTTGAAACTAGAACAGAAACGCACCTCTCGCAATGCTGAGTTGCAGTTTCATTATTCGAGCACTATTTTGCACCAGATTTGCAACTGCTCGACTATTCTGTTTTATTTCTGAGCGAGTTTGAAACACGAATGGAACTCTGTTTCAAATTTCTTTGGATGTGTTGAAGATGTTTCGAAGAGCTCCACAAAAAAAAACGGAGGACTTCATAGAGAACAGTAAAGTTTATGGAACTTGATGATTACAAACATGTTTTAAAACTGTGCGTTGCGCTGATCGTGTTGCAGTTTTATTTTTGACAGTTTCAAATTATAGAATTGACGAGTAGTTTGAAACAATTTTGAAACTCAGCATTGCGAACGGCCTAAATAAATCGTGTTTCAAATCCGCTCAGAATAGTCGAGCAGTTGCCAACACGGCGAATGAGAACGACTCAAATTTGAGTTTAGTTCACTCATAATCGCCAAAAGTGCAGGAACTCAGCGATGAGTTAATTTGCCTCATATTTTCCCAGGTTTTTCCAGGATTTTCCAGGGAAAAATTCCCGAATTTGAGAAAGGTAAAGATTGGATTCACTCAGTCTATTGGTACTACTCCGAGACTGAATAAAATTTTCGTCAATTTCCTCATTTTCCGGCAGATTTTTTAGGTTTTCTACAGGAAACCATGAGACAAATTTTACTCATCGCTGAGCTCCTGCACTTTTGGCGATTATGAGTGAACTAAACTCAAATTTGAGTCGTTCTCATTCGCCGTGAATATATTCGAGTACTAGAATAATGAAACTGCCACTCAGCATTGCAAGGGGTGTGTTTGTGTTCTAATTTCAAATTGAAACAGTCCATATAAAATACAACAGCATTGCGAACGTCCTAATGATCATTGTGTTCCGAAAACCAGAATCTTTCCATAGATTGCAGATGTTTTCCTTCCATCGGACAATGCACTGCCATTACGGCCCATGTTTTGGTTAGCACTAATCCACCGCAGTGCAGTCGTTCATCTTTGAGTAGTGCCACCTGATATGGGAACTGTTTCTTTTCGGCAAAATGGCCATCTACGTGATCCATACGCGGTAGATAGCTGCTGTTGACATAGAAATAGTATCGCAAAAACCACTGACCACATCGTGGGGGGTATGCACTCGAACGGTTGGAAACAGTTTATGTAACCTGAGTCAAAATTGGTACTTGAAAACTGTTGATATTTATCTAAGAACTCACGCAATTTGTTGTCCGAGACACTTAAAGCGCTTGGTTTCATTACGTAATACTTGTCATGAAATGAAGAGGCAAACAATGCTGAAGCAGATCGTAAACATAGACTTAATTCACTTTGACTGTAAACATTCTACTTGCAACTTGACTTAAGTCTTACGAGACATCGTCGTAACAGGTAGCGTTGACAAAAAAAAAAGGAATACAGTTTTATCAGTACATCGAGTTGTCAAAAGGGTAAGGAATTAGTTTTTCAAGTGCCCCTAGAGATATCTCAGATTTACTGAATCGATTGAAGAATTGAGTATAAATACAAGGTCCTGAGTGGAGTAAAGTCATCAGTCGATGCAGTAGCAGTAGTGAACAAACTACACAGTTTTACAAATATCAAGTGATCAATAGTCAAAACTAAAGAACAATGAAGGTGTTCGTCTTGTTGGTAGCCGCTTTCGTTGGCTGTGCTCAGGCCGTCGTTGATGGAGAGTTCGCCGAGAAGGGCCAGTTCCCGTATCAGGTGGCGCTGACCCACAAGGGAAAGCTGCACTGCGGAGGCGTGCTGGTCCATGAGCGATTCGTGCTGACTGCTGCGCACTGCTTCTTCGATGGAGAGACGCAGTGAGTTTTTGCTATGATTGGGTTTGGTAGGGATTTGTAGCTAAAAGATTTGTTTGAATCTGCAGGTATCCAGAAAAAGCTTTCCGTGTCTTCTTCGGTAGCGAACGGTTGATGATGGGTGGACAGTTCCGTAATGTCAAGACCTTCTACGTCCATGAAGAGTTTGACCATCAAACCTTCAAGTACGATCTGGCTCTGATTGAACTGAGCAAACCAGCTCAATTCAGTGATTATGTTGAGTTCGTGACTGTCAATGGAACGCCATTCGCTTTCGATGATTCGGTCACCTTCACTGGTTTTGGACGTACGTCGGAAGAGGGGAACACCAGCTACAAACTCAAGTACAACACGTTTACCGCTTTCACTACCGAAGAGTGCAAGAACTACCTGGGAGATGCCTTCTACGAGGGAGCCCTGTGCTTCCACAACCAGGAAGGTCACAGCGGTGCCTGTTTCGGCGATTACGGAGGTCCAGCTGTGTTCGAAAACTCTGTGGTCGGTGTTGCCAGCTATACCTTCGGTGGAGCTTGCGGAGGAGAACAACCTGACGTGTTCGTCGATGTTGGTTTCTTCCACGATTGGGTCGAGGAAAAACTCAGTGCTTAGATATTTTCCAAAGTTCTACTGTTTACTAATCGAATTTTAGACATAAATCTGTACTCAATCGGTTGAACAAATAAAATACGAATAAGGTTATTGTAGAATTGTAATACTTCTTGCATTCTTACTCGAATTACTAATTCATATGATGACAATCGTTTTACTTTTACTAGGTTGAAATTTCAAGGAGCTATCTATATACATACCGGTATGAACCGAATACCAGGCAGAAATTAAGTTGGATATTTAACTAATTGTTAAATATTACGACTACTTTGTAACATAACTAACAATGTCATGTGTGATGATTCAAAACGATACAAAAAAATATTCTTGCAATTTTGAGCTTGGTAGGCAGTGATAAGCCATTTTTAAAAGCGACCGGATTTATGGACTAAGTGTTCGAATTCCGAGTCAGTACGATATTTTGTCTTCATAATGTTATCTATATTTTATGATCTGCAAATAATAAACAACTGTGCCTATTCACTGGTTGAAGAAAATTTTGTGTCAGATCGCTAGATGATCGAGTTAACAAATACAAATTCTTTAGAAGTCTGTACAAACGCCATTTGCTGAGAAAATTTAGATCTTTTAAATGGAACATAAAAAGTTCCTACTCATGGATTAACAACTGAAAATCCCTTCTTAGCATCAGTGAAACTCTTGCGTTTTGACACAAGCCGTCAATTTTGCTGACTAGCTCTGGGAAAATCATGGTCATCCTATTCCTATTCCATTATTGGATGTGTTCAAATAACCGGATTCACTGCGTCCTAGCAAGAAGTACGGTCGACTTGTTTCGCGCTCCGTTGTTTTGGAAGTTTTCTCGGTATTCGCTTGATATAAATTATCAGTTTTTTTCTCACTAAGTGACTCCTGGCATAGTTCCCGGTAAATTGATCGAAAAGTGAGTTTTTTTTTTAGTACAAAGTGCCATTTTCGGAACGATTAATCCGTGCTATTGGTATTTCGCAAACCAATTTGGGCATCATCGTTGCGTGGTCACGCATACGCGCTCGCGCATACCCGCTCACGTATCATCATCATCGAGTGTGAGCACCCGTTTCTACATCTACATCGTTCATCAATCATCGTGCGCCTGTGTGCGCTGAGTACCGAGCCTCGATCAAGTGCACCACAACGAAGGTCATCCACGCAGCGCGTCTCTTCCAGCCATCTGTGTAAACGCCTACACATATAACGCTCGGTGGTAGTAGTATAGGATTATCAGATAAGTTTTTGTTTTTTCCTTGTTTCTTTTCCTCCCCCATTAGTTAAATTTTCATTTTGTATTTCTGTGTTTGTAGTGTTTTCTGTGTATTGTGTCTTTGCGTTCAGTGGGAGAGCGTTTTGCGCTCCCACTAGTTGAACAAAATGGATGTTTTGTCAGAAGACGACATGGATGACCATTCATCTCAGAATAATGATGATGTCATCCCTGGTTCGTCGTCTCAGTCTGTCAATGGGCAGGATGAGAAAAGCACCAGATTGCGGGCCTACCCGAATGACTCGACTGGCCCATGGGTTGTCTATTTTCAGCCCAAAAACAAACCCTTGAATGTTGTTCAGATATCTGATGATCTGACAAAGCGATTCTCTGCCGTGACCGAAATAACGAAGGTTAGGCACAACAAACTTCGTGTGACCGTCGCTAACCTGAAACAGGCCAATGAAATTGCTGTTTCCCAGTTTTTCACACTGGAATATAGGGTGTACATTCCAGCTTCTGATGTGGAGATCCAAGGCGTGGTCACTGAGGCGAGCCTGAACCCCGAGATACTGGAGAAGCAAGCGGTTGGCCGATTCAAGAACCCCTTGCTTCCTCCGGTAAAGATACTGGCCGTTCATAGAATGAAGTCAGTATCGCTCAGCGAGGGTAAAAAGAGTTTTACCCCCACAGACTCGTTTCGGGTGACCTTTTCTGGATCTGCCCTTCCTCAATACATCGAGCTGGGAAAACTTCGTCTTCCTGTGCGGTTGTTTGTACCTCGGGTCATGAACTGCCAGAATTGTAAGCGGTTGGGACATACGGCCTCCCACTGCGGCAACAAGGCACGCTGCTCCACATGCGGGGAGAAGCATGAGGATGGCGCCTGCGCAGCTACTGCACCAAAATGCGTGTACTGCAACGGAACTCCTCCTCATGCTCTCTCGTCGTGCCCGGCGTACAAACAGCTCGGGGACAAAATGCAACGCTCCCTTAAGGAACGTTCCAGGCGGTCTTTTGCAGAAATGCTTAAGACAGCCAAGCCATCGACCAACGAAACAAATCCCTTCGCTCTTTTGTCAGATGACGAGTCTGGCTCTGACTTGGCTGAGGAGGGAGTTTCTTTCAGTTTTCCGGAAGGTTCTGCCCGGAAACGAAAACGCATCCGTTCGCGGAAAGTTGCAGATCAAGAACCCCAAATCAGCTTGCCCAAATCAAGGAGTGGTGGAAAAAAGGAGACTTCTACTCCTCCTGGATTCCGCAGAACTGATTATACCCAGGATTTTCCACCTCTTCCGGCGACATCCAAAACCCCTGATGCCCCAATTTTAAGAACAGAAACCCCTTCTTCATCTGGGCTGTTCTCATTTGATGACATTGTGGACGGTATTCTCAAATACCTCAACATTTCTGATCCTCTGAAAAGCATTGTCCTCACATTGCTTCCCACTGTGAAATCCTTCTTGAAGCAATTGACTTCAAAATGGCCCCTTCTTGCAGCTATCATCTCCTTCGATGGATAATTTTCCAAACGAGGTCGGGGATTTGATCACTGTTCTACAGTGGAATTGTCGAAGTCTTATTCCGAAATTAGATTCGTTCAAGTATTTAGTCCATAACAATAATTGCGATGCATTTGCCCTCTGTGAAACATGGCTCTCTTCAGAAATTGATCTCCCTTTTTACGATTTTAACATTATTCGATTGGATCGTGAGGATTCACGTGGAGGAGGGGTACTTTTGGGGATCAAAAAGTGCCATTCCTTCTATAGAGTGAATCTTCCCGAATTCCCCGGTATTGAAGTTGTCGCATGTCAGGCTACCATTAAAGGTAAGAGCCTTTGTATTGCTTCTGTATATATTGCTCCTAGAGTCTCTGTTAATCGCAAACAACTTTTCGACATATGTGCGGTACTTCCCGCTCCATGGTTGATCATGGGAGATTTTAACTCCCACGGTACAGGCTGGGGGGAACTGTACGATGATAACCGTTCTACTTTGATTTATGATCTCTGCGACAACTTCAACATGACAATACTTAACAATGGAGAAGTAACACGTTTGGCTGGTCCATCCTCGAATGGTAGCAGATTAGACCTCACCTTTTGCTCCAATTCACTATCGTTGGATTGCACTTGGCATGTAATCCAGGATCCGCACGGTAGTGATCATCTGCCGATCAAAATTTCGATTGCCAGTGGGTTCAACTCGTCAGAATCCGTTAACGTCGCGTATGATCTAACCCGTAACATCGATTGGACTAAGTTCCAATCCGCGATAGACGATACAGTATCGTCAGTGGAAGAGCTTCCGCCGTTGGAGGAATATAATTTCCTCTCTAATCTCATCGTCGACAGCGCACTTCAAGCTCAAACACGACCGGTGCCGCGATCGTCTATTCGTAAGAAAACACCATCGCTCTGGTGGGATCAACAATGCACGGAGGTTTACCGTAAAAAGTCCGACGCGTTTAAACTTTTTCGGAAACGCGGAACACGCGAGCATTTCGACGCATACACATCTCTTGAACGCGAACTCAAGAGCCTCATCAAGGCCAAAAAACGGGGTTACTGGCGGCAGTTTGTAGACGGATTGTCGCGCGAAACGTCTATGAATACGCTTTGGAGTACGGCGCGAAGAATGCGTAACCGGTCTACTAACAACGAAAGCGAGGAATGTTCGGATCAATGGATTCTTAAATTTGCGCGAAAAGTGTGTCCGGATTCCGTGCCGTCGCAGTTGATTCCTCGCGAAACCGCGAATTCGGTAGACGACATCAGTCAGCCTTTTTCAATGGTGGAACTTTCACTCGCTCTCCTTTCGTGTGGCAATTCTGCCCCGGGATCTGATAGAATCAAGTTCAACTTGCTGAAAAACCTCCCAGACGTCGCTAAGAGGCGCATGTTGAACTTGTACAATCAGTTCTTGGAGCTCAATATTGTTCCCGACGATTGGAGACGAGTGAGGGTGATAGCCATTAAAAAGCCTGATAAACCCGCGTCGGATCACAATTCGTATCGGCCCATCGCGATGCTGTCATGTATTCGGAAATTGATGGAGAAAATGATCCTTTTTCGTCTCGACAAATGGGTTGAGACGAACCACCTTCTTTCAGATACTCAATTTGGTTTCCGTAGGGGTAAGGGAACGAACGACTGTCTCGCGTTGCTTTCCTCGGAAATTCAGTTGGCTTTTGCTAAGAAAGAGCAAATGGCTTCTGTGTTCTTGGATATCAAGGGGGCTTTTGATTCAGTATCCGTTGAAGTTCTTTCAGAGAAACTCCACGCTTGTGGATTGTCTCCATTAATGAATAATTTTTTGTACAATTTGCTGTCAGAAAAACATATGAGCTTTTCTCATGGAAACTCTACAGCTTTTCGATTTAGCTACATGGGTCTCCCCCAAGGCTCATGTTTAAGCCCCCTTTTGTACAATTTCTACGTTAGAGAAATTGACAATTGTCTTAGTGACAATTGCACGTTGAGACAACTTGCAGATGATGGCGTAGTGTCTATCACAGGGCCAAAAGAGGTTGACCTGCAAGGACCCTTACAGGATACCTTGGACAATTTGTCTACTTGGGCTATTCAGCTAGGTATCGAATTCTCCACGGAGAAAACTGAGTTGGTCGTTTTTTCTAGGAAGCATAGCCCAGCACAACCGAAGCTTCAACTTTTGGGTAAACCGATCACTCATTCCATGTCTTTTAAATATCTCGGGGTCTGGTTCGATTCCAAATGCACCTGGAGATCCCACATTGAGTATCTGAGACGAAAATGCCAACTAAGGATCAATTTCCTTCGATCAATTACCGGAACGTGGTGGGGAGCCC